ATTGCCTGTGAAAAGTGATTTCCCTGACACAGATTTCAAAGTTGAATTCCATCCGGTCTCACCAAACGGTGTTTATTCAATCACAGCGTGATGAGTGGTGGTGTTCTCCAGTATACAACGAAGGGCTGTCTGGAAGCAACGAGTTGCAGCCCACATGAGCATCCAAAGAAAGAAGAAGAAGCCGCACCGCTATTGGTCGGAATCAGCTGTGGGCCAACTATGCCAAGCGCGTCATACTAAAGAGTGTAAAAAGAGAGAACCTCGCTCAAATGCCTATTTCTACACAAAACACAAGCTCCTGCTGCAGTTAACAAATAAGATTTATTATATAAGACCACGTAGTTCTACCCCATAGGGCTGTCCCTTGTAATTTTTATTGAAGCAGCAGTATGTCCACAAGCAGAAGTTCGGGATCCGGACAGCAAGGTCAAGGGAATGGAGATGGCAACGGAAGAGGCAGGACTGAAGCAGGAAGCGTTTGAGTTAGAAGTTCCGTTGCGCTGCCAGTCATTGAAAAGCTTAAAGGAAGAGATAATTGGGTTCTTTAATTTTGAAAAATATATCGGTTTTTATATATCATCTGAAAGAACTTCGTTTTCTGAGCACAGCGATATTTCTTTCGAACCCACACACTTTCATCTCGATTTTTAAATCAAGATTTAAAGAAAAATAATAACTTCACTGTTAGACATGAAACTGACAAACTGACAGCTCAATCCCATACACAGTGACACCGAGGGGCGCTAATAAGGTGATTTTCGTAAATGTTATCGTACTTATTTAAAATAGTTCCAGTGTACCAAAATTGATACAATTTTGGGTTTGGGTTCCATTTTTAATGCAGATTACGAATATTTACCTCAATCTCCTAAAGAACCCAATTATACGACGTGGGCGATGCGGATGATTCTGATCCGTGAAGGAAGCTGGTCTGCCATTGACGGAGACGGTGAAGATGTTCCTGAGGACGTGAAGTTGCAGGCTCTCGCAACGATCTGCATAAGTCTGGAGAGCTACAACTACAGCCTGGTTCAGGATGCGAAAACTGCAAAGGAAGCTTGGACGAAGCTGCAATCTGCATTCCAGGACAGCGGATGCAGTTAAGGCTACAATTTTACAGGACGTAAAATTGGATCGCGGTCCGGTCAGCAGCAGCACAGAAGGTGTCAGCTGTGGCTACAACTGTGAGAAACCGGGGCACTTTGCAGCCAAATGTCCCAATGCCAAAAAGTCGTCTTTGAAGCCAAGCAAGTCAAAAGGACTGTGCTGTATTTTCGCTATTGGAGATGTAAGGACCGATGAGTGGTATCTGGATTCCGGTGCACCAGCCACATGGCACGTTCGGATCAACCTTTCGTCAACGCGGTTGCCATGGACCATGACGTTGGAACAGCAAACAACAGTCTGTAAGCGAGGAAACAAGGTAGTATTCACGGCGAAAAATCGTTTCCGGTTAACAGCATCCAGTTGTGACGTCTTGGCCATTTGAATGAAGGAAGCTTGAAGAAACTCAAGGAAGTGGCTAGCGGAATCGACTTCAAGAATGAAGCACTGTCTGTGTCTCACAGACAAACAGGCACGATTTTCGTTTCCCACCAGTGGTTCAAGAGCGAAGGAATTGCTAGAGCTGGTGCACTCCGACCTGTGTGGCCCCGTGGAGGTGCCATCGTTTGGAAGAAGTCGCTACTTTATTACCTTCGTGGACGATGCCAGTAAGAAGGTAGTAGTGTTCTTTCTTGAAAGGAAGAATCAGGCGCTTGAAGCATTCAAGAAACTCAAAGCTAGAGCCAAACGTGAAGGTATCCGGCATCAAACCACGTGTTCGTATACGCCTGAACAGAATGGTGTTGCAGAACGCATGAGTGGAGAAAGCAACGATGCAAAGTTTGGTAAGCAGTTTCTGGTCCATCGATGTCCAACGCGGTCATTGGAGAACATAACGCCAGAAGAGGCGTGATCTGGAAAGAAACCGCACCTCAAGCATCTCAAGATTTTTGGATCTCAAGAGATGGCACACATTCCGGAAGCGGAAGTGGAAGAAGTTCGATGTCAAGGCCAGAAATGCGATCTTCGTCGGCTATTGTGAGTACATCAAAGGCTACCGTTTGCAGGATCCTGACAGCGGTGAGTTTCAAATCAGTCGAGATGTTGTAGTCCTAGCAGAAGGTAAATCAAGTCCAAGCCTAACGAGTGATCAAAATGCACAGCCAGTGGAGTTCATGGAGCTGTATTTCCAAGAGCAGCAATACTAAGTCGTTGTAGTTTCTTCTGATGGTGAAGATGAAGACATCGAAGAGGTTGCGGATGCAGTTGAAAACGCGCTCCCATCACAATTGAATAGACCAGCTGATTCGCAGCAAGGTCTAAGGCGCAGCGATCGGGAGCGCAGTTATCCAGGCAAGTAGGGTAAACGCTCCTATAGTTGCGGTACGTTAGAAGCGTTAGGTTCCTATAGTTGTGTATGGAGACTCCATACACAACTATAGGAACCTAACGCTTCTAACGTACCGCAACTATAGGAGCGTTTCCCCTAGAATGATTACATTAGCTTTGGAGCATATTCTGGTGATACCATTTCTCCCCAGTTACCTCCTGATTTAACCAAGCGTGAATGTGCGATGGATGATCCAACGACTTACGAAGAAGTTCTGCAACGGCCTGACAGAGATCATTGGGTTCAAGCGATGAACGGTGAGCTGAGGTCACTGAGCGAGAACAGCACGTGGGTGCTTGCGGATCTGTCTGAGGGGCGGAAAGCGATTCGGAACAAATGGGTGTTCAAACCGAAGCGTGCACCTGATGGAACCATTCAGCGGTACAAAGTTCGTCTCGTCGTGAAAGGATGCTCGCAGGATGTTGACGGTGAAATACGATCTGGACATCGATCAGATGGACGCAATTACAGCCTTTTTGTAAGGAGAGCTGAACGATGAGGAGATCTACATGCTGCAGCCGCAGGGGATAGACCATCGAAATGGAAAGGTATGCCGCTTGAAGAAAGCTCTTTACGGCTTGAAGCAATCAAGCCGAGTGCTTCAGAAGTTCCGACTGATTCGTTCCTCAGTATATTGTTGCCTGTACTGGATGATGTGGAGACAAGCTGATGTTCGTCACTATTTACGTAGAAGATTTTCTGATCTTCACCAACGATCAGAATCTGAAACGAAAGCTGAAGACGTATTTGAGCGAACGATTCAAGATGAAGGATCTCGGTGAAGCCAAGTATTGTTTGGGCATCCGGATTACGAGGTATCAAGCAGAAGGAAAGCACTGGCTCGATCAACAGGTGTACATCGAGGAAATCATTCAGCGTTTTGGAATGACCGAATCGTATCCTGTAGCAACACCAGCTGATCCCAGTTTAAGACTGGACAAATCCATGGAACCGAGAAACCAGAACGAAGCCGAGGAGATGAAGAAAGTTGGTTTCAAAGAAGCTGTTGGATGTCTGTTTTTCGTAGCCCAAGTGACTCGTCCGGACATCGTTTTTGCAGTGAATGCAGCTAGTCAGTTCAGCGCCAATCCGGGACGTCAGCATTGAGAGGCCGCCAAGAAGATAATTCGGTACTTGAAAGGAACATCGACGAAGAAGTTGGAGTATTCCAAGCGATGATCATCGGAACTAGTCGGATTTAGCGATGCTGATTGGGGAGGAGATCCAGATAACCGTTGCTCTTTCATCCTGTGAAGCAGAGTATATGGCCCTGTCTCGAACAATTCAGGAAGCAATGTGGTGGAACAACTTGCGGTCGCAGATATTCGAGCAGCGGCCAGTAATTATCAATTGTGACAACCAATCTGCAATCAGCATCGCATATAATGGCTCATACAATCCTCACACAAAGCATGTTAGCATTCGCTACCACTTTGTGCACGATAGCCTACAACAAGGAGCGGCAAGCTGATGGTTTCACAAAACCATTAGCCGTTCAGAAACAACAACAGTTTTGCAAACTATTAGGTGCTCGGATTAGGGAGGAGTATTGAATAACGTAGTAGTCTGTGATAATCCGTGTCACTGTTGTGAAGAGAAAATATAAAATAAATTGAATTCCACTGTATAACGTTAACCAATAAAGATGTGTTTCAATCGTACTCTACAATTGTATTGCATCCTAAGCAGTGTTGGGAAAATATCAGCTCAAAAAATCAAATCTCACCAACGCCCAAGATCACGCTTGATTTTCGTAGACAAAAATCAACAAGCAAACTACTGCGGTTGATTTTGCAAGCTGTGATATCGCAGCTCGGAATATCAAGCTAACAACACTCACCAACTGCAAATCTCACCAAACCGTGGTGAGATTGAGTTTAATGATTGTTGCTTTACACCCGAATGCAGCCGAAACTTCCATAACGGCTTGCAGCAGTCTCTTCGCGTCTGCCATCGGTGAAGATTAAAAAGAGATAGCAAACTATGCTTTCTCTTTCTAAAAAAACGATGTGCAATGGAACCATTTTTGTGTCGAGTCAACTCTCAGCTTGATTTTTGCGCGTTGTGAATAGTCTCGCAATATCAAAGGAGCTTGTAAAATCAATATCGAGGATGATATTTTGTTTCAAATCACGCGTGATATTGCGAGTGCATGAGAGCGGAAAAATATCAATTGATTTCTGATTTTGCCAACACTGATCCTGAGAATAGTTTTTAAAAATGTTGAGACTAATTCCATGGAAATTCTGAGGATAATTCCGAGAGAATTCCTAGAAGAATGCCATTGGAATCTAGCTTTGAGGGTTGAACTCCAAAAGGGATTCCAAGAAGAGAATTCTGAGGAAAACTCCGATAGTTCTGAGCATAATTTCAAGACATCTAACAAAATTCTAAGGAGAATTCAAGCAAATTTTAAATAGAACTATGCAAGGAAACCTCAGCGCAAAGTGTTTTACAAACAACAGCAAGGGAATATTGTAATTGATGCGACTCCTCATGGAAAGAATTAAAAAGTATCCGTTGAACAATCCGACTGAAGCATTCTCCTTCCACTGTTCCTTTGCAGCATATGGAACAGATCAGAAGAATCATGAGGCCAACCGACGTTCCCGACACTGGACTGTTGTGCGATTTGCTGTGGAGTGATCCAGATAAGGATGTCAAGGTACGTTACCAGACTCGATGTTTACAAGCCAAAAAAAAAGCTTACGAATTCCATTCTCGTTCAATTTTGCAGGGCTGGGGCGAGAACGATCGCGGTGTGAGTTTCACCTTCGGCGTCGATGTCGTGTCCAAATTCCTGAGCATGCACGATCTGGATCTGATCTGCCGGGCGCATCAGGTTGTCGAGGATGGGTACGAGTTCTTCGCCAAACGCTCGCTGGTGACACTTTTCTCGGCACCCAACTACTGCGGAGAGTTTGACAACGCCGGTGGTATGATGTCGGTCGACGAGAATCTAATGTGTTCGTTTCAGGTTGGTTCCAAACCGGTTTGGGTTGTTTTGCAGTGGATTAATTAAACTGTTTTCGTTTCAGATTTTGAAACCATCGGAGAAGAAAGCCAAGTATCAGTACTCGGGCACGAACGCGCAGCGACCGCAGACGCCGCAGCGGAACCAGAATCAGCCGCTGCCGCCGAGCAAACGGAAATAATAATTTCTCTCTCTTCTGAATCGCTATCTGACCCGACGGCGCGGCGGCGGCGGTGGTGGTGGCGGCGGAAGCAGCAGGAAACAGAAATCAGCATCAACATCAACTTCATCTTCGTCCGCAGGTACACCTAACCCAGCCAATCCCGCTCCACCACCGCCACAGTCATCATCTTCATCATCATCAACAGCAGCAGCCACAGCAACAGCATCTTCATCGTCATCAGTTGCCGTCCCCGCCGGCGCCGGGGCAGTTATGTCCGATTCACTCTCCAGTAGTAGCAGTAGTAGCGCCCTAGAAAACCAAAATCATCCGCACTCGATAGCCGTTTCCTCTCGACGACCGTCCTCTTCCTCGTCATTGCCATACGCTTCCAATGATTACGAGCAAGGACACAGACACTACCATAACAATGTCCACCACGACGACGACGACGACGACGACGATGACGATCTGGAGGAGGAAGAACTGATTGTAACCATACCACCCCCACCACCACCACCGGCTCAGGTAATGGCCATGCAGCAGCAGTTGCACTCATTGCGACTGGAATCTTCATTACCGCGAGCGGTAACCGTACAGATAGCCGTGCCACCTCCGACTCCACCGTTGCCATCGTCCGGTTCTTCCTCCGGATCGCCGTGGGTACCGTTGAAGTCGTCAGCATCCGCAGCAATACATCAGAACAACATTCTAGGACCGGTAGCTTCCTCCCAAGCATCCTCGGCAGCAGCAGCAGCAGCAGCAGCCGGTGGACTACAGTCATCGTCGGTAACGTTTTCCACTTTTCGTAGGGTCCATTGAGATTGATGGATTTCGATTATTTTTTTTTCGTTTAACTATTCAGCTAAATTTGTTTGATTAAAATTAGCAGTAGCAGAAGAAGTTTAGTTTTTAGGACGAGCAAAGCAATATGGATTGATTTGATAGGCATTTGAACTTTTTAATCGAGTTTGTTTGGTTTGAAATTCTGATAATTCAGTGCGGTAAATTTGCTAGTTGGGATCAAATACATACGTGAGTTTTGATAATACTACTAACTCAAGGAAAAATTTATGCGGGTTTGCTTACCTGTGTGGTTATTTTTGCTGTACCTAGAAGTCGTCTCCATTCCACTCGGCCACGTTCTCAGCGGACCTGTTTTCCGTTGATAGTCGTTTTGTGGACGCGTGGATCTTTGCCGATTGTTTCAATTCGTATTTTCTCCTGTGATATTTGCGAATGCTGCTTTTAGGTATCTGTGAAGAGTCCTACGCTCTGACGATTATCAGCCGACCCTCACATGGAGAACATACGTTATTTTGAGCCACAGCTTCCATGTTATCTGTCAATACAGGGGAAACATGTCAGAAGGGTCTAACTCGAAACGTAAACAATGACTTGGTGCGTCGGTTTCTTACGAATTACAACACACCCACTCAAACTAACTGAATCATCTGACAGAGAAATGTTTGTCATATGAGCTGGTGTCGTCAGATTCCGTGGGTGTGTGGTTATGCAAGAGAAATCGACGTTCAAAGTCATTGTTTACGTTTCCAGTTATACCCTTCTGACATGCTTCCCCTGAATAGAGGAGCAATGTCCCACTAGGGCTGATTATCCGATCTTTTCTACAGTTCACTGGCAACATTTCAAAGGGGCGTAATTGCTTTTGTAAACAATGGCTTGAGCTATCGATTTCTCGCAAATAAAAGCCCATCCCTTCAAATTAATAATGCTAGCTGTTAAAGGAAACATTTCTCTACCTGTTGGTGTTATTAATCTTCATGAGTAAGCTTTTATTCGCTAGAAATTGATGGCTAAAGCCATTGTTTACCAATGCAATTACGCCCCTTTGAAATGTTGACACTGAGTTATTCGTACACCAGGCGCCGGGAAGTAGGGCTAGGAATTATTAGGCAAAAAGGTAATTGATAGCACCAACGATATGCTTTGTTCAGTCGTTTACCAGTCGGATTCCTCTAAAACATGGGAAACAGGCAAAGCTCTCGAAGAGTCATGAAATAACCCCTCTACACAAGTAAAAGGACGCATCCATACTAGTAAAATGGTCACAAATTTATTTTACCTGAATCTTGAATTTCTTGAATTCAGAACGATATAAGATCTGATCGTTCGTATACTCAATATGACAACCAATGATCTGATTTGTGAACTCTCATGCGATTAGATGTGCCGATTGCTGTTCAAGTCAGATTATGCCCACTTCTCGGGGGAACCCGGAACAGGTCCGTGTGTTGCCAATGTGGTACTGGGCCCTCAGTAAGACTACCAATGGTCTTATTTCTCTAGTTTTCATGTGATTTGTTGTGCCGCATGATGTGTTTTGGTTCAAGTCAGATTATGGCCACTTCTTTGAGGAACCCACAACATTTCCCGGAGCTGGACAATGATCTTATTTTTGAATTCTCATGTGATTTGAGATGTCGTGTGATGGATTTTACTTCAAGTCACTATCCCTGAGGATCCCGGAAATTGTTCGGGTGTGACCAATGTGGTACTGGACACTCACCTATACTACCAATGATATTATGCTTGAATTCTCAGGCGATTTAATGTGTAACATCAGATTCTGGCCACCTCCTCGGGGAAACTCTGAACATGTCCGGGTGTGGTCAATGGTCAACGTGAACCCTGAATAAGATTACCAATGATCTTATTTTTGAATTCTCATGTGATTTTTGTACCGAACGATGGGTTTTAGTTCTAGTCAGATTAGGGACACTTCCCCGGGGAACCCGGAACATGTGTGGGTGTGAACAATGTGCACACTTAGTATTTCTACCGAGCTCGGCTGTGCAAATCTCGACCAAAAATAAGTTTCACTGAGATCTCAGCAAAAGTGACATTTGCTTAGCTGAATCTCAGCAAAAAAGAAATGTTTGCTGAGCTGAGATCTCAGTAAGACTTTTTTTGCCGAGATTTGCACAGCCGATCTGGGTAGAAAAAACTAAGTGTGTGGTTCTGTAGATTCAATAAGACTACCAGAGATCTTATTTTTGAATTCTCATGTGAGTCAAGGTGTCACATGATGGGTTTTAGTTTGGTCCACTGACCACTTCTTAGGGGGAAACCCGAAACATGTCCGGGTGATGTAAATGTGATCTTCAATCCTGAATAAGATAATCAATGATCTTGTTGTTGAAACCTCATGTGATTTTTGTGTGTCACATGATAGGTTTTAGTGCTAGTCGGACACTTCCCTCGGGGTCCCCGGAACATGTTCGGGTTAAAGAGCCTGAATTTATAAAGAGACGATATGTCAAAATTGGAACAATCGATTGTCTGTCAAAGTCATAGGAAAAGTCATTCCAATCGAGCAGAAGACCTGTCAAATGGATAAGATGTCGCCTCGGGTGTAAACAGTTTGGTTCTGGAGATTCAATAAGTCTACCAATTATCTGAATTCTCATGTGATTTGAGGTGTCTTGTGATGGGTTTTCATTTGGTTCACTGACCACTTTCCAGGGGGAAGCCTGGAACATGTCCATGTGTAGTCAATGTGGTCCTAGACACTCATTAAGACTACCAGTGATCAAAGTTGCGACCTATCACATTCACGATCGTCAAACAGCTGATGGTATTAACGCTTTGTACATTCCTATCAATGTGCTCGTCGAAGCTCTCTCAATGACCATCCATCAAGTTGACGAAAGAAGTAAAAAGCAACTGGAGAATGTCGTCTTCGGTTGTGATCCATCACCGATCTGGTCATTCCCGACAATCATCTGTGCTCGTTTTGAAGCAGTTGCTGCTTTGCTTGCATTTCCGGAGAACTTCGAGATTAGGGCGTAATTGCTTTTGTAAACAAACACTTCATTTGACGATTTCTCGCGAATTAAAGCTCATTCTCAAAAACTAACAACACAAACAGGTAGATGAATGGTTCCCCTATCATTTGGTACAGTTTGTTCACGAGATTGTTCTTTTATTCGTGAGAAATCAGCGATTGACATGTTTGTTTACAAAAACAATTACGCCCAAATCTCAAAGTTCTCCGTATTTGTGAGTGTGTTGGTGAGTGCTTCCGTTTATTGTTGCCTGCTTTGTTTGTAACTCACACAGTCGCGCCTGCCGAGACGAACTTGGAAAGCGAAGGCATTGTTTTCATTTTCTTCTGTCGTTTCGCTTTTTCTCATGATCGTACTGCAGAAGTCTTCACTGTTTTCGTTGTGCTTTTCATCATCAGCAGCGAGTGTAACGTGTTGCTTGTGAGCAGCGACCATTACTGGTGATTGTTGTTTGCCATGGCTCTACCTCTAACTGCGTGACAAAACGTTCTGTCAGCGATAGTCGGTTGATGCGTAGACGAGTGTCACGTGAGTGTCATGATATTTTGCATCACTGCCAGTGATCTTAGCCTTCAATTCTCATGTGACTTGAGGTTTCCTATAATGTGTGACACTTTCTGGTCGGTTTTAATCTCATGACCCATACTCACCAGAACATGTTCCGGCGATATGTCCGGAAACATAATCCAAACATATTCAATAGCGGTCTATGGGACCATAGAGCAGTTGCATGCCAAATGACGAATCGATCTGATGCAATCTTCTCCGATGTGCATGATACTTTGCATAATTGTTTGCAATGGTCAAACATTCACATTTGAGCTTTGAATCTCGTAAAAAACTTGCGTATTTGATTTTTTTCATGAAATCATAACTTGAAAATGACACTTTCTAATCGAAATTACAAATGAAATTTTGGGTAAAATCGCATATAGTAGTTTCCTTTTAACACCAGCAAAAAATACTTACTCTTAAGTATATTCTACCCAAAATTAAGTTTAATACACGTAAATTTGGGAATATGCAACTTTCTCAAAAGTAACTTATTGGGCTGAACTCGTTGGGTCGAATCTCTCGTTCCATTTTTGACAACAATAACGAGTGCGAGTGATAGGCTCAATTCAAGCTTAAGTTAAAAGAGCTCAAAGTGTGGGTAGTATTTTTTCTCCGTGCGTTAGGCGATTAAACTTTAATCTCAGGCGTCATTTCGATTGGAAGTGAAGTTTACGAGTTATGATTTGTTGAAACAATCTTAATACGCCATTTTGAAGTTATTTGCTAAATTCAAAATGACTGAATTTCTGCTCTAATCATGACAAGGGGCTGTTCATAAACTACGTAGACAGTTTTTTGGGATTCTCGACCCCCCTCCCCTGCGTAGACAATTGTCTATTCAATTTTTTTTTAAATTTGTATGGGCCGTGAATAATTGTCACCACCCTAAACTGTCTACGTAGTTTATGATCAGCCCTCAAACAATTCTTTTTTTAACTAGTTCGTTTATTTGGAAGGCTCAATCGCGTTAGCTTTACAGAGCCGACAGATCATTGTTCTTTGTTTTTAACAAAATTCACTTAATTCTATGTCTAGTAGGAGTTGGGCCGAATACTCGCGGTTTACCCGAGGTTAGAGAGGTACATTGTCGAAGGATAGGATCAGGGGAGGAGCTTGAGGGTAAGGTTTCGTTGTCTCATCAGTGCGTTTTTGCCAGTATGAAGGGTAGTGCGGTTCTTGTTTCGTCTGGTAGTGACCAGTAGGGCGACGCTGAAACTCATCGAGACGGGGAGACAAGACAAACAAGACTATTAAAGAGAGACAACAGACAAAGGAATTAAATTCTTATACTAGACATTTGAAGAAACTCATAAACCGACTGCATATATTTTGCAGAGTAAAAGAAAGTAAG